TGTGCTATTGATACAAGGAAAAGGAAAGGCACTTTGTAACATCTATGGTATCTTTTCCCTCTCCTTTCCTTTTGCTGCATTCTCTCAGCAAAGTTCTTCTCATTATTGCAATCAAGATAAGGCCATTCCCACGTTTGCTTGAAGAATCTTCATTACTGCAATTTTGTTGAATTGGTTAAAAGTAGCCTTTTTGAGGGGCAAGAAGCTTTCCTTTCCTCTCTAAACTCAAATCACACAACAAAGCATCTCTCTTCAACTTCTAACATTCCCTCTGCATTCATTTTTGGCCATACTTCATCACTGTCAGGGGAGTTTATACTTTCTGCGTTGGGGAAAGTTCAGTTTGTGAGAGCTTTTATAAGGGAGCAATGAAAACTAAACATTAGCTATCCTGTGATAATCAGTCTTAAAAAAAATACAATCTTAATATTAAACTTGAAAAAAAATCATACAACGAATTAAAATCTTCGAATCATTAACTAATCACCCTCCTCTTTAATTGGAGACAAAGATCTAATAACTCATTTTTCCTGGGATAATCTTCATTGTTCACAGTTTTTATTTTAATTTAGGTCACATTTCTTTAACATCAAATTGGATTCGTATTATCGTAACAACGATCTGAATAAGAGATTTAAATGGACTAAAAGGAAATGATGAGTAATCTTTAAAAACAATAAAGATTGAACAAAAGTATTTTTGTTTTTCAAATTTTAATGTAATCATACTAGTTAAAATAAATAAATTCGATCATGAATATATCTTAAAATATTTATAAAAAAATGAAAATCAGTTGCAAGTACTTATAAAAATGATTTTTTTTATTATTTGGATATTACAATCATATTCTCTGTTTTGTAAATTTGATTGACACCCTTGTTTTCTTTTTTAGTAATTAATCCAATTCTACTAATTCTTTGACTAAAGTCCATAAGTCTCTAATGCATTGGATTGCTCCTTCCAGTTGCCGCACATTAACAGTTCATCCGCCAGATTATTCAAAACAACAATAGACTATTTGGTGAAAGCAGTTGCGTTTCTCTCTTTCTCCCCTTTCATTGGTCGCCCTGTTGTTGGGAAAACTAGAGGATGAAGGTCTTTGATTCGTTATGTATCTTTTTCAATTGATGGCCTTTGCCTAATATCTTCACTTGTTTATTCACTCATTGATAAGAATTGTTTGTTGAAACTATACATGATGAGCTGGTCTTTCCTACATGTTTTACACGCCTTACTATAATTCCAACTTTCACCTATGGATGTGTAAATGCTATGTTGGGCTCACCATCTCGATAAAGTAACTCGAAAAGGAAAATCGTATAAGATTCAATTTTAAACCTCTCCTAATGGCTCAAGTGTGTGAAACAAAATGGGTTTTCGACATTGATAGCAAAATCGATTTGGCCACAAGATTAGCTGATAATCATTGTAAAAGTCAAAGCTCGTTTGGCTGGCTCTTGTTTGAGTTGACATGACATGCATTTTCCAACGAAGAGTACGAATGAGGATTTTATCAACGACGAGTACAAATGACAACTACTCAAGCAAGGTCATGTTTAAAATTTTTTTGGATTGTAGTTTAGACAAAGTGAGCTCAACATCCTAATATGGTCATATATTTGTTGTTCATATGTCAAACAAAATATATAACAAACCAATGTGCAAGTAGAGAGAGGATAGTACCATCCAAAATTACTTTAATTATTAGTCTCTCCTTATGAATGCTTACTGACTAGTCCTTTTCTGTTTAGGCTAATTAGAGCTCTTTTAGGTCAAGATGTGGATGGAACTAGCTGGGTCATGGGTCTCATGGGTCGTTACTCGTTACTTTTTTTGACAAGGAACCGTTTCATTAAACTGCAAAAGTGAACAAAGTAGCTCTATATATGTATAGTACTACTAGCCCCATTTGGTGGGCAATATTATATTGGTTAAGTATGTGTTTATTTTCTATAGTGTTTAAGTAAGTACCAAGTAGTAACCAACCCATATTAACAAACCTACAAAAATGGGTATTGTGTTGAGTTATTACTCACTATAGGCAATACAAAGCTTGATGATGTTAGATTTATTATTGTACATTTCTCATTAACTCGTGTTATTGGGATCAACAGGTTCTTGACAAGGTATTAGAGCCTTCTATAATCGAGAAGTCTATTGTTCGAATCGCGGCGACCTCGTTTGTTAAGCACATGGTATTCGGACCTGTACAAATTTCAAGTCCATATGAGTTGACTTTTGTATATACTAGAATCGATGCCCGCTGCTACACCGCAGAAACTAAAGTTACAGTAGGATGATCGTATGGTGAGCAGGTTAGGTGACACAAATTGAGGTTGTATTATTAGCAATGGTGTGGGTTTCAAAGTATCAGAAGTCTGTTTAGGAGACCTTTTTATCTTGAGTTCCGCAGGTAATTAGCATGATTCATTGTCAAGAAACACGGGTCATTATCATTTTCCATGTCGTAAGAAATACACATAGTTGTTGTTCCATGTATTAGGAAATACACAATAACCGTAATTAACCGCAAAACAACACTCCAAGCAACAATGTTTGTACCTTGGCTCACATTTCGCCCACGAAAAGAGTTAATCATGCACTAATGTTTGTATGTGCTTTAGCTCCACATTGCACAATGTAGTACAATTAGTAAAAAAGAATGCTCTCTCATTCATATAATGCGTTATTTTGGCATGCAATACAGAATTATGAAAAGAAGAAATGAGATTGACATCTAACAGCAAAGCAGAAACCATTTTGTCCATTTACCTTCAGGATTAAGCTGGTGAATCATGTAAAGATCACTGGCATTATTACTTATGACTGCAGAAGGACAACTTACTTGCTCATCGAAGGTATTGATAGATTAATACACTTCAGAGTTGAAGCCGAACAAACTGAAAGAGGAACTCGGAGAGTAAATAAATGACAAAAATTTCATAATTTTCTTTGTCGAGAATAGAGTTAAGCATGACTAAAGGAATGCCACATGAAGATACTCCAAATCCTTCTCATGTCAGCAGACCGAAGCTTCTGTTACATTGATGAACGCCTTGAAATCCCTTTTTTGTCTTCGTAAATCAGCTTCTGGTCTTGATTGTGTAGCTCAGTTGGTCTAGTCAACATCTTCTCTCGCTGGAGTCCTTTCCAATCCAGGGGTAGTTACACAGAGGAGAAAGGTAAAGGTGGGATTTTCACTTACCGAATGAGGCTTAAGATATGGTGTTGATTTCGTGGAAGTTTGGCCCGTACTTGTCTCGGAACCAGATTTTCTATGGAGGAATGGACCAGTGATACGATTTTGGGTTTTTCTGAAGCACCCATTCCAGCTCATGTGTATCCATCTTGGAGGAAATCAATAGAAAATGGAAAATATCCATGAACAAAACCTCGGGTAGATGAACAACCAAAAAACTGAATCTCCATTGGAGAGGGAGGACAGCAAGCCGCCATATTGCAGCATACAACAAAATATGGGAGTTAAATGAGAACGTATTTGGTTAAATTTCTATTCTTTGGCGGCAATCAACTGGCTACTTCTCGGTGGATTTTTTTTATTTTACTTTCTGGTCTTTCTCCCCTCCTCGATTGCCGTCGGGCTTCTTCCGTCTTCCAGCTTAACATCGGCGCTTCCACCAACTCCCGCTTCGGCTTCCTGCTGCTCCATCACCACCACCGTCGGTTTCGGTCGTTCCTCCCCATAGCTAGGGCCCGAGCATCATATTCATTGCCACGGCCGTGCTCTGCGGCGAGATTCCAAAACTGAGATATTGAAATTAACAGTATCGACAAAGAACACAGTAAAGTAAGAGCCCACCAATCCATCACCAGCGGTTCTGTCCACCGCCTTTGGTTCTGTCACTGTCGGAGAGGGAGAGAGTGAGAGAGATCCAGAAAGCTGTTAGTTGTGGTCCGGTCTCCCGCTTTGATGCTATGAAAAAAGGTCACTGGGGGCAGAGAGAGGATGAAAAGAGCTGCATGGAGGCATCGAGGAGAGGCAACAACCGATGAGAGGTCTTGCCAAAGCTCTTGGGGGAGAATGGGAACAGAGCAAGAAAAGAGCTGAAGAGAAGGAGGAAAGTGACTGGTCGGGGTGAGGCATAAGATTTCAGTCCTTTCTGAATTGAGCAAATGAAAGCGTGGTCTGCTGGATTGATGGGCGATGGCGTGTTCGGGCCGCTGTGGAGGCAGCGGAAAATATGGAAAAGCAGAATGGGCCGGTGAGAAGACAAACATGATTTGGGGGGAAAGCAACAAGAGAGTGGTACAGTCAGTCCACTATAGCGAGATATGGACGGCAACATGCCACTGCAAATTGTAGGGCAAGCCTAAATAGAAGGCAGGAAAGCGTAGGTACGGAAAGAGTGAGGTTAGAGAAGGAAGTGAGTTGGGGGAGCTGAGGAAGTCAGTTGAGGAAGCTCCTCCAATCGGCTCTCGCAAAACTCCAAGGAATGAAACAGTAGTAGCAAATTTGGGTGAAAAAGTATACCCAGCTTTCATGTGTTAAAGAATTATTGAACATCTCTAAACAATTCAAATTGTGAAGATAAACTGGTTATTTCCATTAATTTTTAGGCTAATTTAGTTTATTAATTGTTGGTATGTATGAGAATTAATCCATGTGCTCACAAGTTAGGGTTATGGAAATTTTGTAGACTTGAAGAACTCGAAGAAGGCAAGTTAAATTAGCCTCCACTTCACGCTTACTTAGAGTTAAATCCTTGAACCTAACCACGCAGTCAATTCTTACGTACATATCCTCTTAATCGGTAAGCTTAATTAAGGTGTTGGTATGCTCATAATTCATAAAAGATAACAGAAAAGGAGATCAAATAACTTCTCTGAGGAAAATGCTCTATGTTTCTCCGAGCGTCTCTAACTCGCCGGTGGCCGACGTGGCGATGTCAACAGGGCCACCGGATCCGACTATTAAGTCTTTCTCACCCTAAGGAGATCAAAGTGTGCAAGGCAACCCACCGCTAAGCTACAAGTCGGCACTGGCTTGGTCTCCGGCGTCACCCGCTGCTGCAACCCAACAGTGGACTTTCATCGGTGAACACGACCTTGAGGTGGACTCATATCAAGGGGAACTGGAGCTGAAAATCTCCGCCCAGCTGAAGGTACGCCTTTGCGCCCCCTGGAAGCGCATGCTGGTTGTCCGGTTATTAGGAAGGTCAGTGTCCTACCAGTATCTCTGCTCACAGTTACGTTGGAAATGGAGACCCAACGGAACCATGGAGATTTTGAATTGAACAACTCCACATTTCTGGTTAGCATGGGTAATGAATAAGACTACCTAAACGCCCTAACCGGCGGACCTTGGGTCATTTTGGATCACTATTTGATCGTCCATACGTGGTCGCATTCCTTTCGCACCTCCGATAAACCACATCGAGTTGTGGTGGCCTGGGTGCAGCTACCAGATCTTCCGATCCATTTATATCACCGGGAAGTCCTGTTTGCTCTAGGTAATTTACTAGGACGAACAATCAAACTTGATTATCATACAGAACACCTGGAAGGCTGGAAAGCGGTAAGTTCGCAAGATTGGATGTAGAACTTGATATGACAAAGCCATTGAAGACTCGTATCCGGCTTGATGGTGCCTGACAACAGGTGATGTACGAGAACCTTCCGGAGATTTGTTTCGAATGCGGCCGTATTGGTCACTCTGAATCCACATGTTCCACCGTGCATCAATCTCCTAGGAACGCACCACAAGCACAAACGGCGATGGTTTTGGTCACGCCGGAAGTCCAATCGGAGGAACCGCCGGCAGGGTATGGACCATGGATGCAGGTGGTGAGGAAATCACGCCACCAACGAAGGAAGGTTCCCACCAATCAAGGGTCGTCCCAGGGAATCTCAACGAGCAAGAGTGGTGGATTGGGAAAGTCACAGACAAAATCCGGCCAAAATCAAAAAATGAACAAGGTAACTCGGCGGATTCGCAGGGAAAAAAGGGGAAAGAAGTTCTAAAGGGGGATCCTAAGAAAGGAAAGCACCAACCTAATAAAGGGAAAGGAGCAACAGAAAACGAGAATATGGGGAAGGATGGTAGACAAATGGGCTCGACTCAGGTGTGGCGCTCCGTTGGGCCCAAACAAAAAGAAGTCAACCAAGCCTATGTTTCCATGGTTACGGATAAGATGGGGGCCCATACTGAGAAGGATCCTAGCACATCCGACCCGACCCATGGGAAAAATATGATCATAGAGAACCCTCCAATTTTCAATGGAGTTCCCTCTTCCACTAGTGTGGCGGAGGAGACCAAAGCCAAGGAGTCAATCCGGAAACACTACAAGAAGCGCTCCCTGAACACTAGCTCATCTCTGACGAGTAGCAAGCAGATCTTTCCCCACATACTGAAAACGAATCATGGATTAAATCCAACGCCAACCAAGGTGAAAAGGGTGCAGCAAAAGCGGAAAATCCCAATCCAACGGAAAGTGGTCGAGGACTTCCTCGCCCAACTGCATCTTGATCCTTTGACGGGCGATGGGAAATCAGAAGAAAGGGAGGTCTATGAGTGCATGGTTGAGAATACGGAAAGTGCAACCACCACTACAGATGAGGCTCTAGCACCTGATGCACCTGATCGAGATGCAAATCTGCCTCCCGAGGAGGTGAGTTAATCGACTGATGGATGCGGCATTCTGCCAGGGAAGTTCCCGTCCTTCTCTAGTCTGTTTCTTCTTATTTACTGATGTTTAAAATATTTAGTTGCAAACTTGGAATTGTCGAGGGGCAAAACACCCAAATTTTCTTTCGACCTTTAAGGAGTATATGGGAACCCACATGCCTGTCTTCATAGTAGAGCCACATATCAGTGGTAAGGATGCAGAAGATGTGATTGGCTCGATGGGGTTTGACAAGCATATTCTTGTTGATGTTGTGGGTTTTTCTTGCGGTATTTGGGTTCTGTGAAGAGATGCGGATTTCACGATTATTAAGATAGATCGAGACTCACAATTCCTTTATTCCCTAAGCACAGGGCAGAACAACAATTCGGTCATCCTTACTGCTATTTATGCCAAGCCCAATGATCATGATAGGCTTCCCTTATGGGCGGCAATTCGTCGCCTCGAGTAGACTATCATGTTACCCTAGTTGCTGGTCGGAGGGCCAAGGAGGAGCAATGTTCAATCCCTGCAGAACCACCAGTTTCAATGAGTGCATAAGGGACTATGGTCACCTTGAGATAGGGTTCAATGGCCCTAGGTTTACTTGGAGTAATGGGAGACTATCCCAACGGCTCGACAGGGCTTTGTGCAACCAGGAATGGATTCGTCAATTTCCTTATACATTGTCTACTCATCTGCCTAAGCTCCGATCAGATCATAGACCCATCCTTATCTGCAGCAACAATGAACATGTTCCCCCTCGACAGGTCAGACCCTTTCGTTTCCTAGTGCCTTGGCTAGCTCACAAAGATTTCTCTACTACACTTGAAGCCTCGGGGCATCGAGGAAGGGATTTTTTTGCTGTCTTTGTAGGATTTACAGGAACATCTGATTCGCTGGAATAAAGAGGTCTTCGGTAATATATTGAGGAGGAAAGCAGCGTTGACCAAACAGTTAGCTCGACTAAAAATCAGGAATGAATCGGTGGCAATAGTAGCATCCCTAATGAGGGAAGGGCAAGTTAGGGAGGAACTGGAACAAACCCTTTGGCAAGAAGAGTTTCTATGGTTCCAAAAAGCTAGGGCGAACCAGATCATAAATGGGGATAGGAACACTCACTACCTCCACATTGCTGCTCTAACAAGACGTCGCAAGAACAGAGTCTCTAAACTTTAATTGGAGGATGGGAGTTGGATTGAGGATCCGAAAGCACTGAAGTCTATGGCCCGGGAGTTTTATATAAAGCTCTATACTGATGATGGCATGGAGAAGCAGCATATTCCAGCAGGTTTCAAGGCTCTTAATGAGGCCCTGGCAGCCCACCTAGCAGACACACGGACTCTTGAGAAGATACACATGATCATCAAAGAGATGGGAGGCTTAAAGGCACCAAGGAAGGATGGATTCCACGCCACTTTCTATCAGAAATGCTGGAGTAACATAGGAGCAGACTTCCATGACCACGTTGTGGATTGTTTCAGGAACCCAGAACACATCATGAGATGTAATGAGACCTTGCTCGTGTTGCTGCCCAAGGTGGGCGCCCCCAAGGAAATAGCTCAATTTAGGCCCATTGGACTTTGCAACGTGAGCTATAAGGCGGTAGCTAAATGCCTGGCTAATCGTCTTAAGAAGTTCATGTCGCAGCTGGTTGATCCGAATTAGTCTAGCTTTGTCCCAAAGAGACATATCACGGACTACATCATAATTCTTCAAGAAGTGGTTCATACATTGTCTCCCCAGTCAGGAGCCAGAGGCCGCATGATCCTGAAAATTGATCTCGCTAAAGCCTATGACAGGATCAACTGGAATTTCTTGGAGTCTACGCTGTTGGCAGCCAGACTTCCTCGAGATTTTGTTAATCTTGTCATGGCTTGTGTGACTACCACTCGTTTCCAAGTTCTTTGGAATGGAGGTTGCACAGAGTCTTTCCAGCCGACCAGGGGTCTTCGGCAGGGATGTCCCCTCTCACCCTATCTCTTTACCCTTTGTGTTGAAAGACACAATCACTGCATTAAGGATTTTGTTGACAGCAAAGCCTGAAAACCAATTACTCTTTCCAAGGATGGACCCCCACTCACCCATTTATTTTTTGCAGATGATTTGGTGTTATTCGGGGAGGCTAGTCCAAAACAGGGAGAGGAGATCTTAACATGCCTTAATAGATTTTGTGAAGCCTCCGGGGAACAAATCAGCAGGGACAAGTCTTGTGTCTTCTTCTCCAAAAACACCAAGGAGCAGCAGAAGAAACGGATCAGTGATATGCTGGGGATAAAAGCTACGAGTAATCTGGGTCGCTATCTAGGTGTCCCGGTCATCCATGGCAGAGTCACCAAGGATACCTACAAATACATTTTGGAAAAGATCGATCAGAGGCTCTCAGGTTGGACGGCAAAGAGTCTTTCCTTGGCAGGACGGGTTACCTTGGCGGGATCGGTGTTGAATGCTCTCCCTAACTATGTAATGCAGACATCGGTTCTCTCTTGACTTGGATCGGTGTGACACGATCGACAAAAAAGTGAGAGGCTTTGTTTGGGGTGCGGAAGAAGGGCACGCTAAGACGCACTTGGTGAAATGGGAGACAATCTGCAGACCAAAAGAAAAAGGAGGTCTTTGAATCTCTCTTACCTGATGAAGCTGGGGTGGGCTTTCCTGAATCAATCGGACGATCTCTGGGTCCGTGTCCTTCAATGAAAGTATTTCGAGCTACTGCAGATGGGACCATGGTCATGAAGAAGAGCAATTATTCTAGGCTCTGGAAAGGGATCGTGGACACATGGCCATCTTAAGTAGAGGATTGTGTGGGATATTAGGGAAGGTCGTAATGTCCACTTCTGGATGGACCCATGGATAGCGGAGGGAATGATGCTAAGGGATCATGTTACTATCAATGGGGACGGGATTAACTGGACTGCTACGGTGGCGGATATGGCCACCAACGAAGGTGAGTGGAAGTGGCATGAATTCAAGCAGCACCTAACTCCAAACGATGTGGCTTTGGTTGCAGGTACGGATCCACCGCTTGCTGGATCAGGGGAGGACATCACAGCCTGGGGATTGGAGCCGGATGGAAAGTTCAAGCTTCGCATAGCCTATGCGGCGGTTGCGGATTGGATTAGGGACGAGGTCCGAGAGTTGGAAGAAGCAACTGACCAGCCGTACTGGAAGAGGCTATGGAAATGGACGGGCCCAAACCGCATTAATCATTTTCTATGACTGACTTTTCATGACAGGTTGATGTCGAATGCAGAGAGTAAGAGGCGAAAGTTGACGACTGATGATGCTTGCCCAATCTGCAGAACTGGATCGGAAACTGCATAGCATATTCTGCGACACTGCCCGAATTCTCAACAGGTATGGCGGAGGCTAGGAATTCTTGATAACCTTCTTACGTGCGGCCTAGGGTTTACAGGTTGGTTGGATGCACACCTCAAGAAGGAAGAAGAAGGCCTTCTCTTCGGAGTTGCCGCTTGGTACATTTGGAAGCGGCGGAACGAGAAAGTCTTTCATAACCTTAATCAGGAAGACCATGTGTTGGTGCACAGGATCAAATGCTGCACGAACACTATCCGACAAGCTCAAGCGGACGATAAGGCGTCCCATGCTGCTATCCCAGAAAAATCCCCACACCAGTTGCTTGGGATCCCCCCCCCCCACAGGGATGGGTATGTGTCAGCACTAGCGGATCTGTCAAACAACCTGGTTCGACAGCTGCAGGTGGTGGGGTCATCCGGGACTGGACGAGAAAGTGCAAGGGAGCTTTCGTTGTGAACCTGGGGCGGTGTACGATCACTAGAGCAGAGATTATGGCGGCCATCAGAGGGCTGCAGATAGCTTGGAGGGCTGGCTTCCGTAAAGTCCACCTCCAATTGGACTCCATGACAGCGATTACCATTCTTACATCCCCGGACCAGACGGAGCATAGATATCACAACTTGATTCAACAATTCAAAAGACTTCTACAACATAACTGGGAGATCAGGATCTCTCACATCTTTAGAGAAGGCAACAAGGTTGTAGACTTCCTCGCAAATAAAGGCCACGCTGCTCGCATTGGCTTTCATGATTTTGATATTACGGACCCCGGTCTGTCGTTTAGGCTTTTGTATGACTCTTTGGGCATAGCCCAAACCCGTTTAATTTAATTTTGAGGCAGGGGCGCCCTTTTAGCATCCCGTTTTCCGACAAAAAAAAAAGATAATAATACTTTGTGGTAAACCCATTTGATCAATCAATGTTTGGTAAAAACTTAATTAAATGTTATGTTTTACATTGTCACTCACGCAAAAGATCGTTAAACTTAATCACGACTTATCATCTCAGTAAATCACATCTCTCTTATCAACGGTTCTCTAAAAACTGCGCGCAAAAGCATTATTAGGTCTAACAATGATGAAGAAGGTTTAAACTTTAAAGACATAGCTTCAATTTTACAATTGGCTAAATACATGCATCTATAATTCTATATATACGAAGTCGTCGATGAATAAGGTCAAATTAATGATTCCAATGCCCATTAAATTAGTAATTACTAATTACCCTATAAAAATAATAATGTAGAAAGAAAAACCCACTAAAATGATCGGAGAGCTAAGGAAAGGATGTCCTAGGATGCTCTCATTCAAATCCTAAATAATGGAGGATTCTGTAGATGATGAAGAATAAGGGGAGATGGTGATTGGTGACTTGAAAATGCCCAAAGATAAACACACACAGAAAGCTATTATTGGCCTCAACCTCATTGTCAATATTTAATTTATCATTTTTCTAGGATGTTTGGAATTTCTGCCTTTGAGCGTATCTGGTCGACACAAAGTGGGTTTCAGAAGTTGTAGTATGAGAATATACTTTGATGATCAAGTTAACCGCAAAAAATTCAAGAAGTGAAAAAAATAGTTTAGGTGAGAGATAATGTATTATCTTATCCTTTCTATACATGAGCGGCAGCGCTGATTCTTAAAAGAAGAGAAACTTCAATAATCAAGCGATTATTCTAGTGTAGGATGCTATCCCAATGTGATGTCTTTATTCTCGGGATTTTGGTTGTTACTTTCATGATACTCGTCCTTACAAAGGCTCTTAATCGTGACTTTGATGCGATTGTAACTAACAGAATCTCATACCATCTTAAACGTTCACTCGATCTGGATAAAATTTGTGTGAACCATTTGGTACTGGTGAGGGCTATAGCCTATAAACCATTTGGTTGTTTGATCATGTACTTGTTATAGTTTAATGCAGATACTGTACAAGCTTGGTACCAGTATTAGAGCTCACCAAAGTAATCAAAAGCATGAAAAATCTTATAGAATAACAAAAGGACATATTCTGTGAATAAAAAGAAGGGAAATTCATATTCTGATATATCCAAAGAAGAGCTTTTTCTGAAGATTGAAAAAGCACCAAAGCCAACCAAACCAAGAAGAAAAAAATGAGAGACGAAAAAGGCAAATTTAATTATAAAAAATAACTACAAGAGAGAGATTCTGTAAATGGTGGGTTTGTTCTCAAGTACTTAGGCCTAATCATTGTTGTAAGACAAATTTGGTTGCTTACGATGGGGTATGCCTAATTGCCTGTGGGGAACTTAATACCAAATCTTCAGTCTAGTGTCAGCAGGCTGATGTAAATACTGCTAATTAGCATCCACATTTCATAATTCCAATTTTAGTATTCTGGATCCAATTCTGCTTTTATTTTTATTTTTCAATCTCCGTTATTATTATTTTCCTCGTAATGGTATCCAACTATCCATGTTGTACATATTTTTTTATGGTATAGAGAAAGATAAAGCAAGAAAACATATATTGTATTTTGATATTCGAGTTTTATCGAAATTTGTCATGTGTTAGTATTTATCAGTAGAAGATTTATATTCTCCTTAGTAAAGAGAGACCAAAATCCTATGTTTTCAGGATCAAAATAGTTTAGGGACTAATAAGAATTGAGAACTAACAATAAAAAATCATCCTTAAAAGCGGAAATTAGAAGAAGAAATACAAATGGTAAACTACATTTGACAAACAGTCGCCGGATAAACTATTGCTAGAGAAATTGGCGTATTTAGTTATAAACGTCCAATTGGATGTGCTTGTGGGTAAGTGAGTTGACGTGATTACAAAACTTGGAGCATACACGAGAAGTTCCTCGAGTTATTGTTCTCTGGGAGATTTGAAAACTGCTCTATAGATTTTGTTTCTTAGAGTTGATTTACTTTTGTACATGATTTCATCTTTTCCTCAAATTATACTTGTGTTTTTGTTTTTAATTTTATATTTATCTTGTAATGGAGCAGCTTTCACATATTGTTATTATGAAGAGACTTAAACGCATGACATCATTGTTATACAATTGTATCATTTTCAACGTCCAAAAAATCTCCTATCATCTTCCATTTGCAACTGGAAGTGAGAATAGATTAGCTAGCTAGGGTTTCCTGAACCACTCAAACTAATTTTAACTTTGGTGAAAAAATATGATTATTAGTCAAAGAAGATAACTACAATAGAGAAGAAAAGAGAGACAGGGAGCATATTAGGGAAAAGTTGCGATAAAGAGAACTGGAAAGAAAGCGATTAAGGAGAAAGATTAAGAAGATGATGGGACTGGTGGTAGCTCAAAGCAAATGGCCCCCTCAAATCCCACTAACTAAACCCATACTTATCATTGGAAAACAATTCTCCTGATAAGAAAATAGCCGTTTTAGGTTCCATACATTTAGCAAAAGAAAACAAAAAATCTGGAGCCTGCTGTCAATTTTTGATTGGCTGTTGGTCGAACTAGTATAGGGCTGTCTATTTTTTTTTTTTCAATAGGACATTGAAATTCCATTACTTTTGTGAAAGCCAAGTGTTACAGTAGAGGTGAAACAACATCAAGAATCTGAACCCATTCAGAGGGTAAAGTGTTCCTTGCACAGGATCTAGCAACCCAGTCAGCTTTCGTGTTGGACTTCCGACCAATGTGCGTGATCCGGATCAGCGGATTGGATTGCATCATTTGCTTGATAGTGTCAATCCAGGCAGCCGCTCGCCATGGCCATGAGCTCGGATGATCGTGAATAGCCTTAACAAGGGGCAGACAGTCCGAGTGGATAATGCATGGGGAGCGGAGGTCAGCAGCCAACCGGTAGCCTTCCAAAAGGGCCTTGGCTTCAGCTTCACTGGGGAAAAGCAGTGCATAATCTCAGCCTTACCATTGCAGACTTGACCATGGTTGTTCGTCACAACGACGCCATAAGCCGCCTCCTGGGAGTCGCTGAGGAACGATTGTCTATTTGGTGGTAAGAAATTAAAAGTGCTTTCATCGTACCCTCCTTAGTGGGGTTCGATTTTGTTTCTTTGATGTTTTCAGCTATGTGACTCTTTGTATCTAATTATTTTCTCGTTAATACAAATGGTCTTCTTTGAGAAAAAAAGAAGAGTATGTAATAATGTATGTCTTGTTTAAGAATCGTTTTAAGTTATAAGGGGAAAAAAAGGAAAGAATGGCAACTCGTTGATCAAATCATGTGGTGGTGTTTTGCTTTTGTTGTTGTGAAGCCTAGTCCTCTACTCATCATCTTCCTCGTGTTAGTGTTAGTTTAACATGATTTGAAGAGGTTAAAACGTCAAATTAATTCAAACATGAGACATTTAGGTTCAAGATCAGTAATAGTACCGCCAGATTAAGTATTTGGAGTCTCCCACAAGTATTAAAATTAACACATTATGTTAGTAAACATTATATGATCAGTAAGACAATAGAAGATTAGCTTGACGGAGCAAACTAATACCAATCTCGACAAGATGACGATGTTTATGTTCAGAAAAGGTCATTATGCTCAGGAGTGTACGGGGGAGTGAGGAGATGAGTGATGCCATAAGATGAAATATCGGATTTAAGTTTTTGAACCCCCCCCCCCCCCCCTATCAGTATAAAAACGACGAATAGAGGTTTGGAAATAGTTTTCGACCAGCTTCTTAAAGACAAGAAAGACGGACAAAACATCGAATTGAATTTAAGAGGGTAGAACCAAGTATAACGAGTAAAGTGATCGATAATACCTAGATAATAAGAGTAGCCATCTTCATAACAAACAGGGGCAGGACCCCAAATATCCGAAAACAAAAGATCAATCGGACGACTACTAGACAGACTAGAATCTCCAACAGGGACTTTATGACTCTTATTCGACAAACACGAGTTACAATGAGAAACCGAACGACTCGTATGAGGAAGAGAATGAACTAGAAGAAGCCTCAACAGAGACTTGGAGGATGGATGACCTGAACGACGATGTCAAGAATCATGAGAGTGACGAGTGGTAACTAGGGCGACGCGCACAGCTCCAGAACCACCAGGAATTTCGTAGATGTCACCTTTGTTAGGATCAACTCGTTCTTGACACATGACACACTAAGTATTTCAAAGAGGGACTCAATCCTTTATCCATAATGACAAGGTGACTCTGCAAGCATCTTGATTTGCAGATAGAAAAGAATTTGTACTAGTAATGCCATGAATCACATTCAAACACCTACTGACTTGTTATATCATTATCAACTATGATGTTTTCTTTCTTCAAGGAATTAATTGCCTAATTGAACAAAAGTTAAAATTCACAATTAACTTGAATTTATAAGGTAATTAATTCAATATGGAAGATTTTTATACCATATTTCGTGAGGAGAAAATCTGTCAAGGTGATCAATAAAAAACACAATTTCCATAATTGATCAAATTAAATCAAGCATAAAGCAAAGAGAGACAATAATGGGGAAGGAAGCTCAGTAACACTTCCTCTCACTCTTGTGTGTGCGCGTGTCTCTCTCTCCTCTGTCTCTGCATCAAATCTTGAACAAGAGGAGGAAGAAGAAGAAATTCGCAGTATATATATCCAGAGAAGAGAAACCCCAAAGGGAAAAGACAAAGCAACTTCACAAGATTCTTCTTTTCATCAAACGCTAATCCAGTTCAGCCTACAGCCCACCAAAAAGAGGAAGCCAAGCCACTGAGTGAAGCGAGTTTCTCTCTGCCAAAGCTGCAGAGCTCGAATTCAAGAAGAGAAGAAAACAGAGCACCCATCAAACTCTGTTTTTCCTTCCCAACCCCTGTTCTTCCTCTTTCCCCAGGAGCTTCCCTATTTGGTTCAGAGATATTTCTCTAGAATCACTCAATTTTCGTCTTAAAAGGGCGGGAAATAGAAGAGTCTCCCCTGTTTTTGGATTTTTAAGCCGGTGGTTGGTGAGTGAACAATTAAATGGCATTAGTGACAATCTCGTCACTCCGAAAGATTTTCCCTTTTATCCCCATCTGATTTTTTTATCAGGAAACAAACGACGAGAGAATATTTGTTGCTTTGCTCCAGGGTTTTGATTTACAGTCAAAGAGCGAGCAGAAGCAAAGAGAAACGAGAAAGAGCATGGACGGAAAAAGGCAGCTAAAAACTTGAAGAGGGGTGGGCAAAGCTTATTTGCTGGAGAGTCTCACATTTGTCAAACAGTGGAATTAAAAAAAAAAAAAACAGAGTGCTCTGCCATCACTGGATATAAATCCCCTTCAACACTTCACCAACTCACCGTATCTCAGATCTACAGAATCAGGGTAAAATCGAGACACTAAAAATGTTGTCAGAGAAGCAAGCCGAAGAAGCCATAGTCTCCAGCTTCGACGAAACCGTCCCTGTTTCTTCTGCTTCCGCCGGCGATCACCTGGACGGGAAAGAACCAGAGCACGATGATGACGGCGGCGACCCTCATCATCAATCCGAGTTTAGCCTCAAGAGCATTTTCTGGCACGGTGGCTCTGTCTATGATGCCTGGTTCAGCTGTGCTTCCAATCAGGTCCCTTCCCACTTCTAAAGTTCACATCTTTCCTCCTTCTTCTTCTTCCTGGGTTCTAAATTCCCTTTTTGAACTTGTTAATCATCAGGTTGCGCAAGTGCTGTTGACTCTGCCATACTCCTTCTCCCAAATGGGGATGCTCTCAGGGATAATACTGCAGCTCTTCTACGGATTCATGGGCAGCTGGACTGCTTATCTGATCAGTGTTCTGTATGTTGAGTACCGAACCAGAAAAGAGAAGGAGAATGTCAGCTTCAAGAACCATGTCATCCAGGTCAATTCCCCTTTCGACCACAACCTTTTCTTAAAGTTAACAATTGAAGCGCAATCAGACATAGTGATTTTCGGCTTGTAAATTGCAACAGTGGTTCGAGGTGCTGGATGGGTTGCTGGGTCCGACTTGGAAAGCAGTTGGCTTGGCATTCAACTGCACTTTCCTCCTCTTTGGCTCTGTCATTCAGCTTATTGCCTGTGCAAGGTCAGATTTTTATTCATAATTGGGTCGACTCTTATAATTATGACGTTTACCCTCGTTTTGTTTTGCCCAATTCTATAATGGGTTTGACTCAAATCTTTGTTTTGTTCACCTAATTTAATAAACTCATGCTGTGATTTTCGTTACATTACAGCAATATATACTACATCAACGACAAGTTCGATAAGAGGACGTGGACTTACATATTTGGAGCCTGCTGCGCCACCACCGTCTTCATCCCTTCCTTCCACAACTACAGAATTTGGTCCTTCCTTGGCCTTGGAATGACCACTTACACCGCCTGGTACTTAACCGCAGCAGCCCTAGTTCATGGCCAGGTAAAAAAAATCAAGATTTACTGTTCACTACACTTATGTATTAAGTAAGTAATAACCTTTTGCATATCCTGACTCAAAACATTCTGTTACGTGAGACAGGATCCTGGCGTGGTTCACTCTGGACCCAAGAAGCTGGATCTGTACTTCACAGGCGCCACCAACATACTGTACACATTTGGTGGTCATGCTGTTACTGTGTAAGTACTAACATTACTCCGAAATGTCGAAACGAGATCGTAATTCGGTCGAATGTGGTGAACTTATCAAGTCGTCGCGTGTCGCGCAAACTTATTCGAAATAACCTTCCGTGCAGGGAAATAATGCACGCGATGTGGAAGCCGCAGAAGTTCAAGTACATATACCTGCTCGCGACGCTCTACGTGTTCACTCTAACCCTGCCATCGGCAGCAGCCATGTACTGGGCGTTCGGAGACGAATTACTCACCCATTCCAACGCCTTCTCTCTCCTCCCTCGCACCGGCTGGCGCGATGCCGCGGTCATCCTAATGCTAATTCATCAGGTTTAGATTAATGTTCCCTTCTAAACATTATAACTTACAAGTACTCTTTTAGGTCTCGACTTTGGGGTTGACGATTTGGGCGGATTTTTTCCGGCTCGCAGTTCATAACATTCGGGTTCGCCTGCACGCCGTTGTACTTCGTGTGGGAGAAAGTGGTGGGAATGCACGACACCAAGAGCGTGTTGAAGAGGGCACTCGTGAGATTGCCGGTGGTGGTGCCGATATGGTTCTTGGCCATCGTGTTCCCCTTCTTTGGGCCCATCAACTCCGCCGTGGGTGCTCTGCTCGTCAGCTTCACTGTCTACATCATCCCTGCCACGGCCCATATGCTCACCTATCGATCCGCCTCGGCCCGCCTGGTGAGTAAATGAATTTCTGTATTGGCACAAAATAAATGAATGGGCCCCATTCAAGCCCATTCTCTTCTCTTGGTCATTGCTGTTGAAGATGGTGACATGTTGATAACAGAGATAACAAGACTAGTTCCATAATCGATTAGGATTACGGTTTAGATGTGAATAGTGTTGATTGTATTACAGACAAAACAGAGGGATTAGAGGGCTGATTAATATTTGATAGAGAGATCAATGAATAACTAATCAGTTTAAACGAGGACAAGAAAAGTGAGTAGTTGGAACTTGGAACATCCTTTTTCAATTTTAGTTATCTTGGTAGGTTAGTTTTAGGTTCACTCTCATATTCTCTTCTCTTGCAAAATGACACACAGAAACCTCCCAACCCACCACACCTCACGTCATCACTAATGAGTTGACATGACATCCTAACCAATTCGTACCAATAATGCATCTACATGTATTTAACAACTAAGACCGCATGATCGGTAATCCGACGTTGTTAGAACGTATGTACGAACACTTAACCCATCAGCATGTTAAACGGATTCGTTACGGTTTACCTTGAATTGGTATAATTTTACGGTGGATTGTGGTTTACATTTTTTGGTGGGGGTTTTGTGTGTGGAAAAAAAAAAACAATGTGCAGAATGCAGCAGAGAAGCCGCCGGTGTTTCTGAGGAGCTGGACGGCGATGTACATAGTGAATGCATTCGTGGTGGTGTGGGTGTTCGTGGTTGGATTTGGGCTGGGAGGATGGGCCAGTGTCACCAATTTCGTCCGGCAAGTCGACACCTTTGGGCTGTTTGCCAAGTGCTACCAGTGCCCGCCGCCGGTTGCCGCCAAGCATCATTAAGCTGCGGCGCCCGCCGCCGGTCTCCATTCTCCATAGCATTTGTTATTGTTTTTGGGTTTGAATCTGTGGCAGGTATATACATCTATGTTATACACATAGGGAAGGGGCTGATCAGTTTGCTTGACTCTGGCTTTCTCTGTATCACATATGTTACTGTTACAAGTTGTTTTTATCTTTTTTGTCTGTGTCTTAGACAACTTGCTGTTATATTCCTGAGAAAATGTGGCAGGGGGGTGAGGTTTGTTATTTGTGAAAGTTTGAAAGAAAATCGCAGTATTGGGAAAAGGTCTTCCTCTATTCCTGATGTTCATGTCTAGGTATGCAAATTATAATACGTTTGTGTTTGTATGAAGTGGTAAATGGCTGGTTACATAATAAACACTATTATCATGGGAAAGGATGAAGATCTTGAGTGGAATGGATGTGGGAAAACCGAAGAGCAAACGAACAAGGTCTCGCTATATTTTATTTATCACAAAAACCGTAAGGTAGTATATTCTGTGTTGAATATGATGTAGTTTTTCGCACCGTCTCACTCCTTTAACTGGATTTGTGATTTTTCCCTAAACCAAACTTCTCATTATTCACCTCTTTTATTGGGGTTGCGCAACAATTTGATCTATCGTATTTGGATTGGATCAAGTTGAATTAAATATATGTGGTCCAGTGTTTAAATTTTTACTATTGTATATAATTATTAACGAATGGTTTAAAGCAAACCGAATTAAAAAAAAAAACTTCTGACGTGTGTTTTTAATCCTCAAATTTTCTTCACTTTCGAATTGGTTCTTTTATAATTAGAGATCGATAATTAAATTCAACCGTTGCACACCTCGAAAACCACAACCAAACTCTCAAAAACCTTTTATTACATAAAACAAAACTACTCAAGTGAGATATTGTTATAATAAATTTTCAGATTTCCTATCAACACATCGTTTTCTCTAATTATATATTCTTATGCACCACAACCCATCTATATGCACAGTCCTATTAAAATATACATATAACATAAGTGTTTAACAATTAATTAATCTTAATCCACTTCCCTAAGATGATCTCAAAAGGTCAAAACCGAATTTTCAATTGTTGTTTGTAGGTCACCCCATTTGCCCTCTAATCCAAAACCACCATCTTAATGGGCCTACTTTGACTCGCCTTTGACTTGACGCCATGACACCCTCTTGCTCTTGGCATGATTTGTTGATTTCAACCTGATTCTGGGCGGACCACCTCTCGGCTCTCTCTAGTCTCTATCAGTCCCACCGGAGGTAAAACGAAACGACAGACCCAGAAAGGAATAGCATTGGCCAAAAAGCCTGAAAATCCTAGGTGGACGTCGGCCGGCGAGAGCACAGTGGCTGATTCTGCATTTCTATTTCTTGAAGAATTCTTCTGGTCTTCCCGTTTACCGATTTCACTTTCAGGGTTTTGTTATTTTGTGATTTCCCGAAGGAGGAGGAGAAAAGACAAAAGAAAGAAAATTGGGGTTCTTGCGTCTCCCTTTTTTTCAGGCGACAACAATGGCTCCCAGAGGCCGGAAGAAGGTGATGGGGCACTGATTCTTTCTACCTTTTGGACTCTCTTCGCCCTTACTTCTTTCTCTGTTGAAATCCCATTCGGGGGGAAAGTTTTGCTTCTTTCTGATCGTCTGGCTTTCTCTCTCCTCTTGTTGTTTCCGGTTCAGGTGGGTCTGAAGCGAAAGGACGCCGCCATTGATGCAATGCTGATGATGGGCTTCCCTCGTAAACTGATCAACCAAACAATCACCGAGCTCTTGAAAGTGAGTGTCCAAAGATTAATCCTTTTCGTTCTCTGAATTTTGTGTTCGTTTACCGAATTGATGGAATTTCGGTCCAGGCTTACGGTGGCAATGACGGTTGGATATTTATCGAGATGGATTCCTACAAAGCCCTCGTTGAAGCCATCCTGGAGAAAGACGTCCCAGCGGTAAAACCCTTTGATCCTTTTCCTTGTCTTGTTACCAGAAAGTTGGATATATGCTCTTTTCCTACTTGAAATGGAAAAGCCATTGTCGAATTTCATCAATGCACCATCAGAGATTTCAATGAAACAACTCAAGGGTTTAGAGCTAGTGGCCAGCCATGAGCCCTGTTCTCTAACCGATGCTTGCTTGCGTACTTGCTATTTGTCTTTGTTGCAATGGCTTCTAATCTGCCTGTTACGGACTCAAAGCCGGCTGGCATTATGCATTTGGTTATGATCTTGAACTGAAACTTACATGGTGAAGTCTTCTCCAAAGAAGTGAATCTTTGTTTGGCTATTGGTTGCTCCTCTCATGTGTTTCTTGTTGGTGAAGGCGGAATGCTCAGAGGATGACGACTTAGGTGGCAACAGCAACATACTCTCTGAAGCTGGGTCCTCTAGTGTTCCACCACCACAACCACCTGTTCATGAAGAGGTTGCTACACTTTCATCACCACCTGATGATGGTCTAGACAGTGCGTCACAGACCGAGGCAGCTGTGAATCCTCGGTTCCCCATTCCTGAATCTGGTAATGAAATTTTGCTTACTTAATTAAGTAGGATGAATTGCCTGGTTTCGTGCTATCAAGTAAATGACTCAGTTGACTAATGAAAACCCAATAATTCCCTCTCCTTGGCAGAATGCAGTGTCTTCACATCCCCAGTTGAAGAAAGGGGAAAAGGTGCTGCTGCTGGACCTCTGGACCACGTTTCTAAGCTAAGCAACTCCATGGTTTCATGCTCTATTGAAGATCCAGGTCCAACTCTCTCCTTTGCAGAATGTGCCTTCACATCCCCAGCTGAAGAATGCGAAGATGCTGCCCCACCAGACCAGGTCTCTATATCTGTGGCTCCACCCCGTGATGAACATCGAGCTCCACGTCTCTCCTCGCCAGCATGCAAGGTCTTCACACCCCCAGCAGAAGTAAATAAAGTTCATGACCGCCTGGACCCGGCTCCTAACCTAAAAAACGACTCCATGGCTCCATGCTTTGAGGAACATCCAGCTCCTGTTCTATCTCCCATGAATGATAAGCATAGGCCGCCTTGTCATGGCTGGAGGAAGCGTCCTCGTTATGATGAGCCAACAAACATCGCGGAACTTGAGCCATCACCATTGCCGGAGAAATTGTTGAAGTTGTTTGGCAGACACAAGCCTAGGCCACGGAAGAGAATGTGGGATGTGAAGAGCTAGGAATGGTTGTGAAATTTGGTTGAGAATACAAGTAAGTTCTGCTTTTTTTGGCTATGGTTATGTAATGATTAGGAAGTTTGTTGTAAGGCCTGTTTGTAGATCTCTTGGTTGGATATGGAACATGGAAGACGACTGTAGGAAGGAATGAGCAGGTTTATAGTGGTGTAGGGAGTTCCAGAATACGGGAATCAGGAAAGCTGTTGATAGTTTTGTTTTGGCCTTTGGGAAACTGACCCAACTTGTTTGTGAATTGTGATGTAGGTGTATGGTTTCAGCCTAACTTGTTTCTGAGTGTATGGAATTGTGGATACAGTGTTAGTGAATTGTTTGAGAAAACATCTGAACAGATTCCAGTGCAAATTATTAGGGGTGAACAAACACCCGCAAACCGATCCACCCGTCCAACCCGATCCAACCCACCCGTATTTATCGCTAAATCGAAGGTTTTGGGTTGGGTGAGGGTTATCTTTTGTACAACCCGCCTCTTTTGGGTTGGGTTTGGATTTTGGATTATACAACCCGTAGAATCCGACCCAACCCGTGTTCCAATTATTGGTATGAGTTCATATCCAAAAAAATATTTATGTCGTATATAGTCATACTTATGAGAAAATTAAGATATTTCGCCATGTTTTTCTCTTACAGCCTGTTTGGATACAATTCAAGAAGAAATGGAAATGGAATTCTATTTCCAATTCCTATTTTTATAGAATTCCATTTCCAATTTTAGTGTTTGGTATAATTCCTCCAACTAAAGAAATGAATTGCACTTTTAACAATAATTAATAATATAATATATTTATTTTATCTTGGGAAATGAAATATGAATGATAGAGAAAGAGAGTAGTGTGATAGTTAGTTAATAAAATAATAATAAATAGTGATGGGACCCACTAATTCCATCTTCATAAACACAATTCCTATCACTTTTGATAGGAATTGTAATTCCCAAAACTTAGCCCAAATGGAATTCATTTCTCAACCTTCTTATCCTTCCAAACATAAAATATGGAACTGGAATTGAAAATGGAATTCCAATTCCTAAGTTTTTTGTCTATCCAAACAGGCTGTTAAAGGCTCACTAATCTAATGCATTTTTCGACTTAAAGTTTACACATATATTTAATATAGCTATGATTCACGTAATTTTTTTTTCTTGTGTACAATTTTAAAAGAATATCATATTATGGATGCTTTCATTTGTAACCTTTTTAGCCTATTTCAACAAATGCCGTGAAAAAAACTAGACATAAGTTGAAGTAAATCAAGTTTTATTAAAAATCAAACAATATTTGTGAATTTTGATACCTTTCACCTCGGTTTATTCGTTTGAATTTGTAATTTGTTATAAAATATTTTTATGATGTAGAATAATTACATATTTTGTGTTGGGTTGGGTTTTTACTTAAAAATATCGCCAACCCGACCCAACCTAATTAAAAACAAACCGTAGGGTTTAGATTTTTTTTGGTGGGTTTGGGTTTAATATTTTCCAAACCGTAGTGCATGGGTCGGGTGATTAAAATGCCTAAACCCGGACCACCCGACCCATGTACACCCCTACAAATTATAATAGTGGATAGTAGTCTAAATTTCATAAGGGAGATGAGTTGTGTAACATTTGTCAAATTTTAATAACAGAAAGCAGTCTAAATTTCACATGGAAAATGATTTGTGTGTAATAAGGTGACATTGACTATTGCAAGGTCATTGAACCGCGGGCTAATCAATTAGTCAAACCACTTCGATCTGAATCTGGTATTCTTCTATAGGCGTATTATTTGCCGCCCGTGTAATTACTAATTGCCGCCCGTAAATTTAGTAAAAATGTCATTTTTACCCCTCTTCCATTTTTTCATAACTCAAATCCTCATCCACCAACTTGCTAAAAAAATCTCACCACCAGCAGGCCACCACCACCGTCGGCGTCTGACCACCGCCTCCACCGTCTGATCCCGTCCCGCCGGCCCGACCCGGACAGGCGGACGCCATCCGACCACGACGGGCGGACGCCGTCCGACCACGACGGGCGGACGGATAGAAATAAAAAAAAAAAAAGAAGAAGCCGGATATTGACGATGATTCCTTCCACAACGGCGGTGATTTCCTTCACAGCCGAACCTCTTTCCATTTTTTTTTTTTTTGGTAAAAACCTCTTCCCAATTTCACGGTTGAAACTCTATTACGAAAATAATGGTGGATGATTACGGGGAGATATATTGGGAATATAATAAGGAAAGTTTATTAATAATTGACAATTTTAAACATTAATCTCGTTATTAATTAAGGAATTTAATTTAATATAATTAAGGAATCCATTACCACGCGTGCTTACTCCACATTTATCTTGATTTGGTAATCCGTTAATTAATTCAATTATATAAGTTTATTTTATTAGTTCATTGTTTCCGCCCAAAAAATAGAAAACTTACCATGATTAAAACTTCCAAAATCACTCTATCGTTGCTAATTCCACGTTTCCCTAATTAACCCACGTCTTAATTTACTTGTTTTTTTATTTCCCTAATTAACCCACATCCAAACCCACGTCCTAATTAGCCATTACATTCCCTAATTACTAATCTTTTGCACAAAACAAGATAATGAATGGAGGAATTAGTGGACTGTTTTCTTTATTAATTGACTTAATAAATCATCCTCAATTAAATAAATAATCAATAATTCAAAAAACGATTTTGAAAAAAAAAAAACTGAGTTGCAGACCCGTCCGCCGCCGGATCTCGGACCGCGTCCGCCGGAGGAATTCGGACCCCGTCCGCGTCCGCCGATCGGACCACGTCCGCCTCCGGTGAGCGGACCCCGTCCGATGCCGGTGAGCGGACGCCAAAAAAAAAAAAAGTTTAGCTTCTCGGCAAGCTACTTCCTCGACGGCGACGACGACAACCCGCGGCGAGCTCCTTCCTCTTCAACACCGGCGACTTTGTGAGGGGGGAGGGAGTGAGGTCGGACGAATGGAGGGGTCGGCGGGACCAGATCGGAGGAATGGAGAGGTCGGCGGCGGTGGGAGCGACGGTGAAAGGGTCGGTGGAATGAAAAGGTCGGCCGGCGGTAGGATGTTGTGGAAGGAGGAAGGAAGGTCGTCGGCGACGGCAGGTTAGATAGGTTTAGGATTAATTAAAAGAAGGGCAAAATCGTCTTAAATTTTAAAACTATGGGCGGCAAATAGTAAATATTAGGGCGGCAAATAGCGATTCATTTCTAATAAGGTGACATGAACCTAATTAGGGTCGGTGGAATGAAAAGGTCGGCCGGCGGTAGGATGTTGTGGAAGGAGGAAGGAAGGTCGTCGGCGACGGCAGGTTAGATAGGTTTAGGATTAATTAAAAGAAGGGCAAAATCGTCTTAAATTTTAAAACTATGGGCGGCAAATAGTAAATATTAGGGCGGCAAATAGCGATTCATTTCTAATAAGGTGACATGAACCTAATAGAGAGTATGCCTAGACTCTATCAAACCCTAATAAACTCACTGATCTGATTGGCTGGCCAAATTGTTTTGAAATTATTTCAAAACAAGCTAAAAATTTAAACGATGTTCCTCACTATTATAAAAAAAATTAAATGAGGTTGTTAACGGTTAAACCTTTAAAATTATAGTCTCAAATCAACAATTTCATCACTGTATTAAACATGAATTTGTGCCTATATCTTACCTTTGGACCCCATAGGAATATTTTGAAGATTTGAGTAGTCTTTTCATTTTTGGATAATGTATACTTTTTATTTAATTTTTTTTCCAGATTCTTTTATATTATCCAAACCTATTTAAATACTATTAATTAACCAAATTTTTCGTAATGTAACAAAATATTAGTCATTTCCCCATTTTTACGTTATCGCTAATAATTTTGTAACTATTTTCTTCGTTAAAATACTAAAATTTTGCAATGTTAACCTTCAGGTGCCTCTTCCAAGTCAGTATCATGTTGCCAAGTCAATATTACTAACAAAATTGCTAACTGAAATTTAACAGTTGGCTAATTCTTACTATTTCGATAAGTTTGGATAATATAAAAGAATCTAAAAAAGATTTGGATAAAAAATAGATATTACCCTAGTTTTTTTCACAAACGAAGAAAATTGAGTACTTTAGTTTTTATATTTTGAATTCTGAGGTGAACACCGACGCTGGTTGTATGGGAGATGGAGAAACAGGTTTGGGAATGGTAGTTAGAGATTGGACCGACGCATTCAGGTTTGCAGCGCGAAAAGGGAAGCCGAGAAATGGTGTCCAACAGTGACAGAGGGTCGAGCAGTGTTATTTGCGTTAGAGAAGATGAAAGAACAGCAGCTTGGTCCTTTCGAAGTCGAATCGGATTGCTTGACACTGGTGAATACTTTGCGGCAGCAGAGGGTAGATTTGACAGAACTTGGAGTGGTGTGTGAATCCATTTTGCAGGCTGATGGTATTGAGGACTGTTATGCTTGGAAGCATACGCATAGAGAAGCTAATACAGTGGCTCATACTTTGGCTCTTGTTCAGATAGATTTAAATCAATGTAATAGTTTTTTTGATAAAGTAAATCAATGTAATAGTTGGATAGGCATTTCCCCGTCGTTCCTTTTGAACGATTTGTACTTGGATTCTAGTCATTTGGCTTAATTAATAAAATTACAGGAGGTGCGGTCCCTCCTTTCCCTCCAAAAAAACAATTATTTTACATATATCTAAATTAAACATGCTAAATCAATTCAACCACGACTCTTTAACCTACTTTCTCGACCGGATCAATGGTTGAAATCGGGCTGACAATATCCGGACTATATTGTATATTGTACCTTAAGTTGCTGAATAAACACACTTTATTGAACACGCGGCAAAATGTAAGCGGCTAGACGAGATACCTCGAAAGACTGAAAATATCATTAGGCGGGCAACGGACGAATCAACGGATAATTCCTTTAGATTTCTCCTTCTCTGCTAGCTCCACCCACCTGAGAAATCACCAGATAAGCCGGCGGCGGTGGAGATTGGAATCACCTCAGCGAATCTTCACCAGTCTGAAGACAGCTCCTAATTTTGAGAAATTTGTATGGAGAGCTAGGGTTTCGATTCGGCTAATTGAAAAGGACTCCTGTTCTCTTCTTTCGCAGACACAGAAATGAGCACTTCAGTGATTCTCCGCGGTGATTGTAGTCCATTGCTGCTCTACTCGCCGGCGATTTGCAGCTCTTGTTTTTGCGACCTTCGCTCCCCGCCATCCTCCGCAACATTCGTCGCTTCTTGCCGCCGGCTGAAACGGTATCGGTCGAGAGATTTGAAGCTTTGCCTGGCTCCAAAGTAAGTCTCAACTTCAGCTTCATTATGGCTTTTCGGAATGAATTCATTTCCATTTCCGGTCAGTAATTAGATAGTTCATCGTATTCGAGCATAGGCTCTATGAGACAAGAAGGATAGTTTGTAGAGCGACGGAGACGCAGATTGAACCTGAGAACAATGACGATAAGGTAAAATGGTTCAGCTACTAATTGACATTCGCTCCTCACTGGAAACCCTGATAGTTGAATGCTGAGCCTATCAGTATCATCTATCTTCAGGAAAATGATGCACCTGCAGGAAGCGAGGGAGAGGAATCGGAAGTCGATTCACCGGCTGAACAAGTTCCCCAGCCTGATTCTCAGCCTATAATGCTGAATCAAATCAACAATGTCAATGGGGAAGCCAAAGCTGAAGGTGGAACCGTGGTACTTTATCTGTATTCCGCATTCAAGTGTTGCAATTGCTACCTAGCATTGCATTTTTGTTTGAATCCAATGGGGCTTCCTCCATCAATCTGCTTGAAATTAACGTGTATTCGTGTTCAAACTGTATACATTGTCCTTCTTCTGATTATCATTCTTGAAAGATTATTGTAGTTGCAACTGCTATTCAGTAGATAAGCAGACGAATCAGTATAAGGGATTGGCTTTCTCTAGTTGTTAATTAATCATGGCAACATTTTCTCATTGTAACCTTATTATTTTGGTAGGAGGTTGAGGATGTGCAAGTTACTTCAGGGTCCCCTCTCCCAGGCTTGAAGGTAGGCATATAAAGTGTTTTCAACTCTTGTCCTGATTGATGAATTTTCTGTGGAAGGTTAATTCACCAATCTTACCCAACAGCTAGATGAGTCATTCAGGATTCCAAAGGAAACGGTTGACATACTTAAGGATCAAGTGTTTGGGTTTGACACTTTCTTTGTCACAAGTCAGGAGCCCTATGAGGTTAGTGAATGATGTTTATTGGTTCATTTTCCAGGACCGTTAATGAATTTTCATGTTCAAGATACCAGTAGTTGTTTATCTTCATAACCTATTAATCCTTCTACAAGAATTTAAGGTGCCATAGGAATTAGACACAGTTATTCAAAAACTTTAGCTATGTATGAAGCGCTACGTAAATGATCAGAATCTTTTGATTTTTATTTTACAGGGCGGAGTCTTGTTTAAGGGAAACCTGCGTGGGCAAGCTGCTAAAAGCTGGGATAAGTTAACAAAGAGACTGCACGTATGAACTCTATATGCTTGCTTGCTTTTGAATGCCCTACGAGTGACTTCTGAATCATTTTCCACACATCTTGCAGACCAAATTTGGCAATGAGTATAAACTTTTCCTTCTCATTAATCCGGAGGATGATAAACCAATTGCAGTAGTAGTTCCAAGAAAGACACTGCAACCAGAGACAACAGGTACGTGGAGCTTAAAAAGCAACGACTAGCCATTTAAGATCAACTGTGTATTCTGTGCAAGAACTGTTCTTTTGCATCCTAATTATGACACTATTGGTTCTTTTCCAGCGGTACCTGAATGGTTTGCAGCAGGCGCTTTTGGACTAGTCACAGTTTTTACCCTGCTTCTTAGAAATGTACCTCAACTGCAGTCCAACTTACTGTATGAAATTATCTATCTTTATACTTCTTTGTCTTTCATGTCTTTTCCTTGTGAAAATGAAGCGCATTAGCCAAATCTTTCTTTTGTGCCTTGATTAATTGAAAATCCATGCACATGTATGACTGGTGCAGATCAACTGTTGACAACCCCGAGTTGTTGTACAATGGCCTTCCTGGAGCCCTTGTCACTGCACTTATTCTCGGGGTACATGAGTTGGGCCACATAATCGTTGCTAAAGACGCTGGGATTATGCTTGGGGTTCCATACTTTGTCCCAAGTTGGCAGGTAATATGCATTTTGAACCCTGATCTCTATGGTGGGAACCTTATCCTGCCTTGCCACCATCGTTTCTACTTCTATATCAAAATTTTCTATATAATTTCTTCATAACGAGATATCTTGGCTCTAATGATCTATGTCGATGGGCAGATAGGCTCCTTTGGTGCTATCACAAGAATAAGGAACATTGTCTCCAAACGCCAAGACCTTCTCAAGGTTGCAGCTGCAGGCCCTTTAGCCGGCTTCTCCTTGGGTTTTGTCCTTCTTCTTCTGGGATTCTTCTTACCGCCCAGCGATGGAATCGGCACCATTGTGGACCCTACTGTTTTTCATGAATCATTTCTTGTTGGCAGTCTTGGTAACCACTTCTCTGTCGACCACAATGTATATACAATAGTACTTTTGGAATCATGTTATGTTGAAGTTTAACTCCCGGTTTGCTTTTGTAGCTAAACTGCTCCTAGGAGATGCACTGAAGGAGGGTAGTCCGATATCTATCAATCCGCTAGTGATATGGGCATGGGCTGGACTTCTAATAAATGCCATCAATAGCATCCCTGCAGGAGAGCTTGATGGAGGAAGAATATCTTTTGCCATATGGGGAAGGAAGGTACAAAGTAAAGAAGAAGAGACAGTAGTACACCATTGATTGCACCCATTCCTTTATTCTACATTCCTAATGATTGTTTCTTTTGGTTCATTTGCAGACCTCGTCTCGCTTCACAGCTGCCTCGATCATCCTTCTCGGGTTATCTTCACTGTTTAACGACATTGCCTTCTTCTGGGTCGTTCTGATATTCTTCTTGCAGAGAGGTCCAATCGCCCCAATCTCGGAAGAGATCACCGATCCTGACGACAAATACATTTACCTCGGAGTATTAGTTCTGGCGTTGGGGCTGTTGGTATGCCTGCCATACCCAATCCCTTTTAGAGAAGACGTCATGACGAGTTTCTTGTGAGGTGGGTAGTGGCATTGTTAGTTTGTTACTCAAATCCCCCAAAAGGTACGGTGGATCTCTTTTACTTACTGCCATTGTCGTCTACATGGACCGCAGTTGTGTAATCCGAGAACTCTTTTTTTGTTTTGTCAAAGATATTCCGAATCGAATTGATAGATATGAAGATAGTTATAATGAAATGAAATCATCAAACTATCAAATAAGAGACTTTTTTATGGTACAAAATGGGCAGCAGCCTTTTGATAGCTTAACGACATTAACGTCACGAATCCTGTCATGAAAGTATTCATAATGCGACGATCAAAACTCTCGAGCCTCTACACGTTCATCGGTGATAGCAATAGAGTGCGGTTCTGCAAAACTCGTCTTCTGCTCATGAAAGGACAGCATCAGCCAGGCTAGACCTGCACAAATAAGAAACGAAATTGCCACCAAAATATGTTGTTCCTTGAGGGTAATAGTTTGCCTCTCTGTTAGCAAGACTGTGATCATGTCTTGATGGTGGCTTATTTAATGGACAGGGACTAGAGCCAAGGGAACCAGATGCAGAGGTGCCATTCCTCCTCTTCCATACATAACAGTTATATTCTTATCCTGACAACATGGTCAGGTTCTTCCATACATAACAGTTATATTCTTATCCTGACAACATGGTCAGGTTTCAAAGATGTGACTTATTAGTCAATTACTGGTTTCAACCACTGCAGCGGTGGGCGAGTATACGCATTAGAGAGGCGGCGACGGCTGGAGAAGACAACGAAGGGCAACCAACGTCAGCATCACAAAGCAGATACAGAGAGATCTCATAGGCTTTCTTTCAGCAGCCAAATATTCCTGCACTTGCAGAATGTCGCTTGGCGATTCGTCGTGTTCTAGATTTTCTTGGTCTCGATCTTCTCCGCCTTCCCATGTTGCTGCTGTTTGCTCTGTTGACCTCTTCTTGCTCTTCTCCTGTGGAGACGGAGAACTTGGTCGAGCAATTGAAGCGATCCTGTAAGGCTGTAACTTGGCACCTCTTTTTGTCGTGAAATGAAAATGCTACTGCTGAGAAGAAAGAAAAAAGTCAAAAACAGACAACGAAACCAAGCGACATAGTTGGAGGGACATCGAATTATCGGGAAAAAAAAAAAAGCGTCTCATCCTCTCCCAACTTCGCCCGATCGTGGAAAGTGGGAGCGAGGACTCCGCCGTTGTGCGGCTAGCGGTTACCGGCCGCTCGGCCATCGTGCCCCCGCCGGAATCGGTCGGCGATCCCATGGGGCTTTTAAAACCCCCGCTGTGGACAGCAACTCCATGGTCACTGATTGAATTTTTCTTCTTTCTTTTCTCTCGGATAAGACGATCTTCGTCCTCGCTCATTCTTCCCCTAATTACCATGGCGGCGGGGAACGTGGTGGTTTTCGGAGATGCCGACGTTGCTGCTGGGGCTGAACGAGATGATCTCTCATTGCTGGGGAAGATCATAGGCCCTGTTCCACCTCTTCGTCAACTCCACACAACTTTGGGGGGACTTTGGAACTGCAACGGACCGATTTCGATCCTTCCCGCGGAGGACGGGCTGCTTCAATTCGTCTTCCCAACTGCGGCTGACATGAATAGGATCTTGAGGAGGGCTCCATGGATCCTCCCCAAATACTTGGTCAATCTAGCCCCTTGGGTGGCCGTCTCTCCGGAAGTTGCTGAACAGATGTGGAGGGTTCCTCATTTCCTTCAATTCTGGGGAGTTCCGACCCCCTGCTGTTCAAAGCGGATGGCCACGCTCCTTGGCGGTTACCTGGGGAAGACTGACCCGGGTGCTGTGCATCGCGCAGAGGTAACTGCCGAGATCTACCTGAGGGCCCGTGTGTGGCTGGATTCTCGCCTTCCTCTTCCGGTCTCTATTCCGGCAGCTCATGAGAAAGCAGGCAAAGGTGAGTTCACTGCTATTGTAAAATTTGAGAAACTCTCACAATTTTGTTACTTGTGTGGGATTCTAGGCCACATTGGCCAGCAGTGTCCTCGCCGGGAGGAATTAGCCGGAGCGGATACTCCCTATAGCAAACAATTGTTGTCTAAGAAGTCGGGACCCAAGGTTAATGAGAAGAACCTTCTTGGACGACGGGGCTTAACCTGGACTCGCCAAGACAGAGGACCTGTTCATCCTCCACTGACCCCTGGAAGCCTTCAGCTTCTCCCTGCTCCAGGTGCGATGCCCTCTTCTGCTGTCCCAAACTCGGCAGCGAGAGATGGCGCTCCAATCTCAACAAGCTTGACTCGTAGTAGAACAGATGTGGCAGACATGATGATTCACACTGCTGGGGGTAAGAAACAGAAGCTAGAGGGCTCCGAGCCTCAAACAACTCGGCCAAACTCTGATGTGGTGGTGGCAACCAGCCCGGACTGGTCCCAAAGCGATAGATGAGCATACTCGCCTGGAATTGTCGGGGTCTTGGCTCTCCCCTGACAATTCCATCTCTCTTTGGAGCTATCAGCCGTTTCTCCCCTTCCATTGTCTGTTTAAGTGAGACGAAGCATGATGATGAGTATGTAAATAAGAAGCTCAGTCGTTTAGGTTATGTCGTGGTCAGTTGTGTTACCCCGGTTGGGAGGGCCGGTGGCCTAGTCTTTGCGTGTGCCTCGAATGTACAGAGTCGAGTGTTAGGGTCAGCTGCGTTCTATATATATGTTGAGATACAGCATATTGTCTGGGGTAGCGTTGCTGTTTTCTTTGTTCACTTAAGCTACGATGTACATATCCGTGGAAATCAATTTAATGCACTCCTAAATTTGGTCTCGTCTTGTTCCCTTCCAACTATTGTTATTGGGGATTTCAACTGTATCCTCTTTGCCTCTGAGAAACAGGGAGGGCGCCCTCCTCCTTTTGCTGTTCTCGATCAATTTCATTCATTCTTGTCTGCTGCAGGTCTCTTAGACTTGGGATTTAAAGGCCCTCCCTTTACATGGTCAAACCGTCAAGGACTAACCACTCATATCCTTGAACGGATTGACCGTAGTTTAGGATGTGAACTAATCATTCAAACTTGGCCGAATGTGCAGGTTTCCCATTTGACTGACCTTGGATCTGATCACAGGATGATCTTGCTGCAGTTGATTCCTGGAGCAGGTAAAGGCAAACCCCGATTCCAGTTTGATGGGCGATGGACTTCATCGGAGGATGCCAAAGCCATTGTTCAACAGACCTGGAGTGAGGTGTTTTCCGGAACATTACAGTTTCAGCTCTTTTCCCTTCTCAAGGCAGCTAGACATCGATTTGTGGATTGGGCACGCTTGGGGACAACGAACTCGGCAAGATTGATCAGAGAACTCCGACTGGCAATAGAGGCTGCCAGGGAAAGTTATCCTGTGGAATGGAATATCATCCAAGGTCTGGAAGCTCAATTAGCAACTGCGTATCAACAGGAGGAGATATACTGGAAACAAAAGTCCAGGAACAGCTGGTTGAGGGAAGGGGATGCCAACACGAACTACTTCCATATAACTACTGCGCAAAGGAGACGTCAGAATCAAATAGAGTTGATCCGTGATGACACTGGGGGGATTCATGTGGAAGAGTCAGCTAAAGGTAATGTTTCTGTTACCTATTTCATGTCTCTTTTCTCTTCTAATGGCAACCCATTCCATTTCCTAGTGGCAGCTCTTGGTCTCCCTCGCAAGGTAAGCTCCTCTCAAAACAGATTCCTCCTAAACAAGGTCACTAGGGAAGAGATACGAGCTGCTACCTTTAGCATTGGTGCGAACCAAGCCCCGGGTTCCGACGGCTTCACTGCTGCATTTTACCAGGAGTATTGGGAGGTCATTGGTAATTCGGTTTGTGTAGCGGCTTTGTCTTTCTTTAGATCCGGGCGTTTATTACATAATTTTAACCATACGTTGATCACATTAATTCCCAAAGTCCCTAATGCAGATTCAATGAGACAGATGCGACCAATTGGATTATGCCAGGTCTTTTATAAGATCATCTCCAAAGTGTTATCTTCCCGATTGAGTCAAGTGTTGCCTTCTGTGGTTAGTGACAGTCAAAATGGTTTCGTCAAAGGAAGGGACATCTCGGACAACATTCTTATAGCTCAGGAGGTGATGCACTTCCTCAAGACGAAAAAACAAGGCAGGGATAAATGGATGGCATTGAAGCTCGATATGGAAAAAGCCTACGACCGGGTGGAATGGAACTTTCTCTTTGCTGTCATGGAGTCACTAGGATTTGATTCTTCTTGGGTCAGACTTATCAAGGCCTGTGTCACCACCGTGACTTTTTCAGTTCTCCTAAATGGCAATACACATGGATATTTTCACCCCGAACGGGGCCTCCGGCAAGGTGACCCGCTATCCCCACTCCTCTTTGCAATATATACAGAAGCATTTTCTACCCTCATCTCTAATGCTCTGTCCACTCACCAATTGCATGGACTGAAAATTCATCATTTAGCCCCAACAAATTCGCATTTGCTATTTGCTGATGATACTTATTTGTTTTTGCGAGCATCAACTGCGGAATGCACACAATTACTGCACTTACTTGGTGTTTATGAAGCTGCAAGTGGGCAGAAAATCAACTTGCAGAAGTCCAAGGTTTGTTTCAGCTCGAACGTGACAGCCCATGAAGCGACAGAGTTGGCAAACTTGCTGGGAGTGGATTCCATTGCTGAATTAGACAAGTACCTTGGCCTACCTGCTCAAGTGCAACGCTCAAAGGTCCAAACTTTCAGATTTATTGAGGATGCCTTGGCCAAGCGGGTACTCAGGTGGAAGTCGAAGTCTTTCTCATTGGCAGCAAAGGAAGTAGTTATTAAGGCTGTTGGTTCTGCGACCCCGGTGTATGCAATGTTGTCCTTTCGATTACCAGCCACTTCGTGTCGCCGAATGAATGGTCAACTGTCTCGTTTTTGGTGGGCGAGCCAGGACAAGGAGAAAGGGATCCATTGGATTGCATGGCCAGCAGTGTGTGTGAGCAAGTTTAGAGGCGGATTGGGATTCCGGGACTTTGACATTTTCAATGTGGCCATGTTGGCTAAACAAGCTTGGAAGATTCTTCAATCACCAACGGCAACGTTAGCTAAAATGTACAAAGCGAGGTACCATCCTCACTGCTCGTTCCTCACTGCTCCTATGGGAACAAGACCATCCTGGGCGTGGCAAGGCGTCCTCGAAGGGCGCAAGCTGTTGTGCAAGGGACTTCGGTGGCAGGTAGGGTGCGGAACTGCAATCAGAATTCTCGACGATCCGTGGCTTCCCTCTTCACCTCCTTCTTCCCCGACACTGCTGCCTGGAGTCCAGCTCCCCAATCCGCTTGTGGCCTCCCTGATTCACCCCCTGTCGCGCACCTGGAACAAGGAGCTTCTTAGCAATTATTTTACTGTTGACAGCATCAAATTGATATTGTCTATTCCTCTTCCATCTTCACCGAGACCTGACAAGTACATCTGGCATTATTCTGATTCAGGGGATTATACAGTGAAGTCCGGCTATCAGCTCCTTTCAGAGGAACGTTCGGAAATGTTCACCAACCTACCGCCGCACCTTGATCCTCCTTTTTGGAAAACTCTTTGGAGCTTGCCGGTTCCTCCCAAACTCAAGTTCTTTCTGTGGAGGGTGGTCAGAGGATTCTTACCTTGTCTTGAAGTTCTTCACCATAAATCCCTATGTGATTCGAATGTTTGCCCTATTTGTTCTTCGGCAGTAGAATCCATTTCTCATTGCCTTTTTGATTGCAGGGTTGCCCAAGGGGTGTGGCAATTGGCTGGGAAGGAGCACATTAGATTGGTAGTAGCGAATCTTTCCCCTGACTTGGCTTGGTCTTGTTTGTTTAACTCTTTGCAGCTCAACAAACTACAGATGGCGGAGATACTATTCCTCATATGGCGAATCTGGAAAGCTCGGTGTTGGTCCTGCTACGATAGAGTTCAGTATTTGCCTGCCCCACTTCATCGCCAATTTCTGCAGCAAAGGGATGAGTGGATCACGGCAACATCGGCAGCTGGCACTAACAGGAATCCTCCTGGCCGCCTTCCACCCCCATTGCCTTCTCCATCCTGCCCGCCAGGGGGGTT